TTCAATCCCGATGTGGCTTGGTTCCTTTCTGTTTAACTCCGTCCAAATAGCATGTCGATCGGTGGCGAGGCGCGAATGATCGATAACTGATGTTACCTCATTTGACGCCATGGTAAAGAATCGATTATTAAGGTGTTTGTTGCGAACGCTTTATGACTTTAATGGCCAAAGGCGGAGCGAAAGATCATCATCACTTATCAACTTGCACGAAGGGAGTCACTTAGCCGCAAGGATTGGTGGGAGTGGAAGGACTGGTTGTGGAGTGGAGTGGGAGTGGACTGTCCTTTTTTTGGACTCTTCCGTCAGAATTGAGTATATATTTGCAGTTTTTTCTGGGTCCGCTTGGTTCGAGCTTTTTTTTGTGGCCGATCTACAGAACAAAGGCGTGAAGGTCAAGGTCATTGACTTTCTTGCTCGCTATTAGAGACGTCGTATGTAACCTTTTAGCTCATCGGCCGTGAGAAAAAAAAAAAAAAAAAAAACTCCGTAGGAACATTCTAACACTGAGAGAATTTCAGAGATAAACTATTTGATTTCCAGAAACGATTTGAAAATTTCAGCCACCCTAAAAAAAATCGCGCATAAGATTCTCTGAAATTTTTAAAGATAAAATGTAAGAGTTTCCCAGAAAAAAATTATTCTAAGGCTCAAACGACGTTTTTCCGTATGGCACAACAGTGCCGGCAAGCGCTTATAAAACGGGGTTTGAAAGTATCAAACCTAAGAAAAAACGCCGTATGAAGCTTCAGGCGTTGCCAAATCTCCTTTGATAAAACACAATTTTCACGAGAAATGATAAAACACAAAATCCTTCCAATCTGTGTGCCAATTTTCCTCATAGTTCATATAAAGTATCTGAAAGTATATTGGGAGGATAATCATACCTTTTCTATAAAAAAGTACGTATTATCTGGAGATATTTGGCAACGTTAGAATGTTTATGAGGCGTTCTTTCACAGTACAGCAGCGTCGTTTGGTGGTTTCACTACAAATTATCAGTTTTTACTATTGACTCAAGAAAAGCCGAACCTTAATCATTCTGAAAGATCTTACTCCGTCTTTCATTGGCAGATTGTAAAACAAAGATAGGTAAACTTCTGTACATGTAGTGGCTAAGTAAAAAGGAACTATCCTCTAGCAAGAGAAAAATGTTATTTAAATTCGGTTCTCAGAAAATATTCTTTGACCTGGTCGTAAAAGCTTTTTCCCAAGACTCATAGAGGCTTAATTGAATTGAGCTCAAAGCTCAAGTGCTTTGATGCTCAAAAAGACAAGAACCTCTAACTTTGCGAATAAGAAATGGCCGCAGATTCAGCAACGGCAAATATAGCATCTACTTTACAATATTAATGGGACAAATAGAGTCTTGATTACGGTGTGGAGAATGATGTTTAAAACTGAAGTTTTGAATTCCCTCGTAGCAGTATGAAGGATAGTATTTTACTCTTACGCTTCTTAATTCTTTAATACAAATATTACCAGAGGGACGTTAAGACGAGTTTTTTTTTTAATAATAATAATTATTACCTAACATTTTGATCAATCGATTAACAAATTAAGATAAAGCTGCCTATGTGTTATACAATTTTTCAGACACAGTAAACGCGTGTGAAATAATGTAAGATCACTAATGAGATAAAAACCTTCAGGTGAAAGTTAAAGCCTCTGTAATAAAGTTCTGGGACCACAGCTGCCAAAAAAAAAATGTTTAAACTCTATTCAAAAGGTATGCAAGAGACTTTTACCTACAACTATGATCCTCATACATAATCTTTTGATCAGTTTTTTTCGGAGCAAGGAAGTGACATGCAGAAAGCCGATAATATTTTGTTAAGGAAAAAATAAATAAAATAGTAAAATCACAGAAAGGTAGATCGATTATTGAATCAAGAACTTTTATTATGGTTACGTTCGTTAAAAATTGAAAGTCTTTCGAGAGTTAGTCGGTGCAAATTTCCCATATCTCAATTTAGCACATTTTAATTCAGTTCACCTAAAAAGTGCAATTTTCCTCGAAAGTTAATATCGAGCAATTACTGATGAGTATGTTCCTCGTAATTTTTAGAGGGAATTTGGTAACTCATGAATGCTTACTCAGTTTTCTTCCCCAGCTCTGCGGTGCTAAGGGTAAGCGTTATATGAATATTCGAATGTTGCCACATTTCTCCCGATAAAAGATAGTTTTCGATGGAATTGGGAAAAATGAATCAAAAACATCCGAAAGTTTCTCGGGAAAGTCGTGCTACATTAGAAGTAAAGTGGCACAATCCGAAGGCTCATAAAACGTCCCTCCTTTGCGTAGCAGTGTGTACTTCGCGCAATAGATCGGAAAAGAAGTTGACTGAATCGGGAATTCCTGACTCCTGCGGGCGGAACTTGGAATGAGCAGAGCGGCAGCAGCAGAGAGAGAACCGAAATTATGCTTCTTAAGATTACAAGTCCAGATACCGGCGTAACTTGAAGGGTAGTTGCGAATTTCGGCGAGCTTCGAGCTTGGGGGGAGGGGAGGGAAACTAACGGCCCCCGTGGAGTAGTAAATTCGACGGAAAATGACTTGAATTACAGCTGAAAGCTCTGTTACAGACACGAGTAGGGATAAACGCCCGCATCGAGGCTTATTTATTGGACAGCGCGGAGCGAAAGAACGCTATTCGAGTTGGGGCGTGAACCCTCGGCTCCATAAGAGTGTGGGATGGCCGAGGCTCATGCAGGGAACTCTCTCGCCTCACGCTGCTATCGGTATCATGCGTTCAGGATGGGCCTATGTAGATATTGTCCCGCCTGAAGACGAGCCTGGAAAACACTAGTGCACGTTTATTACAGCGTGAGTATCCATGCGGGAACTTTCTCCTTCCCGAATACGCTCTCTTGGAGGCCCATTTCGGCAAATTTATCACAATTCGGCGGGAAAAAAAACTTTCCGGCACACAGGATCACGTGGGGGAAAATGACCCGATTTGGCACAAAATAATCTGCATATAGCTTTTATAAAGTTGAACAAGAATCGTCCATTTTGGCATGGAAAGTATATGTATAGGAGACTTTACTCGCCGTTAGATTGGGACGAAGCGGTGGTCCATGGTTCGAAGGGGCGCATCCTTAGTGATGCGACTATGGTTCTTCGGCCGTCGTTTACACCCTCCGAAGGGAAGTCCTCCGATTTTCACTCCGAGATTGTTAACATTGTGTTTTGCGAGTAAGCCAGCGTTTTGAGTGTGCCGTTGCCCATACGAAAGGTCTTGACTACATTTAAATGTTGTTCTTTCGCAAATTGCATTTCTACCAGGATAATCTCAGGCTTTTCTAACGGAACAGTTCACTAATTTTTCTTCTGATCTCGCGAAAAATTAGACAAATTTTGGACAGCAATTTCAGAAGTACATTCTTGTCTAAAACTAAATGGTTTGAGTCAATTTTGCAACCTCGGAGTGGAGTTGCGTTCCTTCTTCCGGGAGACAACGAACTCAGTGGCGTGGCGTGAATTGCGATAATCGATTGTTATGCCATTTAAAATTATGAAAATGGATCGATAAACAGGATGTTCATCGCTAACACCTTCATAATCGATTATTTACCCTGGGTTTAAATGGAATAACAATCGATGTATCGTAATTCTTGCCACGCCACTGGACGATCTGCGCGTTACGTTTCCGTTCACAACTTGCGAGTGCGTGCCTGAACGCGTAAAGGGATGAACAGGGGGGAGGGGGGGCAGTGTGGGCGAAGATCGGATGGCGGGAATTGATGAGCATGTCTGAAAAGATAGTTAGCTCATTTGTTTGTCGGTCACCGAAAAACCGTTTACAATTTATTCTGCTTGACGCGACGTGACGCGAATATCCCGCCCGTTAAATCGTCGCTCCTCCGACGTTGAGGTGTAACTGCCCTCGGAGATGAGCCCGGGTGTCCGTACGCTTCCTTGCTTTCCAGAGCTCATGTGAGGAGAACGTTGCGTGAAAGAAAGGACGAAATCCCTGCACGGCGGCCACGAACCCTCTCGGAAACGGCCTTGGTTCCCCGGAAACTGCCCCCGATTCAGCAGCGACTCTCAAATCCGCTCACATATAACGTCGTTCCTCTGACGTAAGGGCATATCTCTACTTCCGCATGAGCCCTGGAAAGCATAGAGTTTCATGTACAACAAGGCTCACGTGAAAATCGAGGTACGTCCTTACGTCAGAGGAGCAACGATAATTGCCCCGCGCCACCGGCATAATTAATTCCCGATATTGGGGTCGATTTAACTCCTCTTTGAAAGTTCCCCAATAACCCTGGGCATGCCGTTTCCGGTCCCCAGCTGGGCCGGGTATTTTCGGTGCACGGTTTCCGGTCTCTCGTTTTTTAGGAGATACATCATCCAGTGGCGAGTGGAAACAGAGACAAAGTACAAAGTTTCTTCGGCCTGCCAGGGGGCCTTTCTAGTATTACGTGTCGTAACGCACTTAGGAGAGAGGGAATTTTGAACGTAGAAAGTTGCTGTTTGGGCCGATCTTGTTATTTTTAGCTGATCTACAAAAATCAAGCATCAACACGATTCTGTAACCAGCGCAACTGACCCACTAATCGAATGATTCTCTTTGTGAGATACTATGTGCCACTTCGTCGTTTCCCGCACGAAGGAACGTAACTCCATTCCAGAGTTGCAAAATTGACTCAAACAATGCAAGTTTTTACGAGAATAAACTTGCATAATTTTCGTCCAAAAATTTGTTTGATTTATGCAGGGGGTCAGAAAAAAAAATCAAGTGAGATTTTCAGTCGAAAATCCTCAAAATACAAATGCAAAAAAATGTCTGGTAAAAATGCAATTTTCGCGAGTAAATCTGGCAATATTGAAATGCAGTTACGTTCGCTCGTGAAAGAAACGACGACTTAAGTGCTTTTGGAAATGTTCAATGCGGTCATCGATTTTACCTTGAGATTCCAAAAAAGAAACAGATATTGTGGTGCTAAATTTCGTAGCCTGTCACGTGGTGTATTGAGTTAAAAAGGGAACTTACCACATTTCTTGTAGAAGATGACCTCCCGCTTGAGTTCTGTTTTCGTATTGAGGGCGTTGTCGATCTCGATCTTGTGCTCCTCGGCGGTGTCCTGTCCGTAGAGGAATTTGCAGGCACATCCCTTCTGCATGATCTGCGCCCGCGCAAACCCGGTGAGCTCGCAAAATCCATCCGAACAGTACACGATCGGGTACAGGGTCGGCACTTGAGCATTGCCAAGAACAAAATTGCTATCTGCAACAGAAACACCATTTACGCTTTCATTAGAACGCGCTCATGTCGACATGTTGAGAGACAAAGGGGAACATTTTACGATACAATAAAATTCATGACATAGGCGGATCCAGACGCCTCGAACGGGGGAGGGAGTTTCGGGAGTCTTCCCCAGGAAATTTTTGAATTTTGAAGGATCTAATTCGCAGATTGAGTCAATTTTGTCACGAATAATTATCAAATATAAGCGTATTTCCTTCTTCTTATCTTCTTGTTTTTTTGTTTTTTTTCTTCAGGTGAACGAGGAGGAGCATACGCCCCCTTTCTTTAGATCCGCACATGATTCATGAAACTTCGACAGTTTTTCTTCATGAAAAATAAACATGGACATTCTTAGATAACACTCATTATGTGCTTTTCTAAATGTTCTCAATATTTACGAGGAAGAAACTATTTCAATTTGATGTAACTTTTTCCTGCTGCTTCATTGGCTCATATTCCGTTAAGTACCTGCGACCACCTGCAGACTCTATATTTAATGTCCTCACACATCAAAGGCACATTCGTGCTCTAGGCTTTCCATATTTTGGAATTACTTGAAGTGGTAACTTTCAAAATTTAAATAGAAAATTCTAACCGCGCATTCTCCAGGAAAGGTGCATTACCCTATTTCCCTCGAAAGAGCCACCTCCAGTTCCTGCCCAGGCATTGGAATTCCGTCCGAATGCGACCGCATGCATGAAGTTATGTTCCCGATAAAACCTTAAAATTCCCTGAAGATCGCTACCTAATGCCGAGTTTTCCGGAGGCAGAGCCTTTTCGTACACCCACACTTGCATTTCTCTGACAGGCGTGCACGATGAGGTAGAATATTAATAGAAATCCTATCCCTCTGAAATTCTGATGATGCGCTTGTAAGTATGGAAAGAGATACTGACGTTCGAGAGAGAAAAGTTTAATACATTCTCGTAAAGGGTTCTGATCCTAAGCGGAGGGTAGCTAGAGATCAGGGATCAACATTTCGTTGAGAATAATAACATTTCGAATAATCTTTCCGTGACTCCATGGTTTTTTTCTTTGAGGGAACACTATCTTCGCTTTGACGTGAGTCGCATTTCATGCACTCCTTCAACTTTCTGATCATGCCGTGAGGCTTTTCAAGCATGCGTCTCTCTGTGAGAGGTTCGCATGGAATAAAATTGGTTCCATAATTGTTTCTGGTTTATTGGAAGCACGAAAAATTTCCCTTCTGAATTAGTCGGTCGTCTATGATCAATTGTTGATATTTTCCCATTTGAAGCTATAGTTTAGAATTGAGTTTTAAGTTGTTCGTTGCAAACACCCTTCTTATGGATCATTTTTCTCAAGGTTAAATGACAGATCAATCTATACGAGTAGATCGTAAATCACGCCACGCCACTGAGTTCACGCCGAGAAGATAGAGTTACATTCGATACTTCATAAAATCTAACTGCAAACGAAAAAATTGAACAACCTCACGAAAGTCTTAAACAAAGAAATTAGATCATGCAAAAATTAAGTACGCTCGAGTGCATTTGGGCGTTTTTCAAAATTCAAGGATATTAAAGGACTTGTCGTTCGCGGAAAATGTCAAAGATATTACTCAAAAGCGTCATGAATCTTAAACGTTTGCCCGATCCGTTTCGTCCTCCACTAAAAAAAAAGTCGCTTGAATCTAGAGTCCAAACTCTAAAAATCTGACAAGAAGAAACAATACTCTTGATTCAATCTGGGTTTTGCTCGAGTCAAAAGGAAATTCGCTGAAATTAAGAGGCTTGGCTCTTGATTGAAGCAAAAATCCGATTGACTCAAGAGAATGGTTTCTTCTTTTCAGTTTTTTAGAGTTTGGACTCTAAATTCAATCGACTTTTTTTTCCAGTGTCTATTTTTTGCAACCCCTGCCTCCTGTCATTCTGATCGTTTTCAAACTGAACCGATTTTCATTATTGCCGAATCCAAATCGCTCTGGCAACATTAAATAAGCGTGTCGCCGGCTCAATTCGGCGAATGGCTCGTCAAAATGGCCCGGTGCTTAAAAAAGGAAGAGCACTTTAATCAAGGCACGGCGCGAACGTGACTTTCGGGTGATAAAAGGACCTCACCGGGATTTCGGTTACGCGTCAAGCCGCTGATTATTAATCGTTTGATGATAATCTCAAATGGTGAGTCGCACAGTGGATCGTGCCAATCGGAGAGGTCGGACATGAAATTTTTTACTTAAACTGCAAATTTTGGGGTGTATTTCGTCACATTTTGCATTTCAAGGGATGATCTAAATAGAAAATTTCACGAGGACACAATGGGTCCACTTTTAGAACCTCAAGGTTTTGTATTAACGGAGTTACAAGCGTTTAATGTTTCCAAATTTTGCTCGACCTCTCCTATTGACTCGATCCACTGTGAGTCGGGAAAGGAGCCAGGTGGAAGGAGGGTTCTTTGTTAGATATAAGCAAAACTATCTTCTGGGTCCATCCGGGCAATTTGCCCCCTTGAATTGAGGAATTGTGTCCATACGTCCATTAATCCATACGTAAACTCTGTTATTTTTTATGACCTGATTGTCAATTTAAAAATATCAAACTGGTCCATAAAGGAGAAGAAGAAGAAGCTGGATTAAAAATTGCCGCTCCATGCACAAAATGTATAAACTCTCGTCGGCGGGAGAAAGAGTCCACCGATTCACATGATTTGCTTAGGTTGAGTTGGGTCATACCACTATTTCAACTCGTAGGAGCTCGGGTTGCATACCTCGTACAATTGAAGGCGCACTGAATAAGTAGCATTGTTAAGCGAAGCTATGAATAGAAACAACTCGCTGTAAACGGTTCACTCTCCTTGGGTAGCGGCCGGATCGATATAAAACCCCTTCAATTGCGTGTGATACTGTGCAACAAACCAAAGATTATATAGTTGTATTCTTAGGTTTGGAACCTAACTTGAGTACCCGCTACATTCAGTTTAACTCAAGAGGAGCCCGCGAGGCGAATTCAACTTTGGTGTGTTGCACAGTATCATAAGAACTTGAAGGGGTTTTATATCGATCCGACCGCTACCCACAGAGAGTGAACCGTTTACAGCGAGTTTTTTCTATTTATGGCTTTCGCTCAGCAATGCTACTTAGTTAGTGCGCCTTCAACTGTGCGAGATATGCAACTAATAGAAAATTCAACCGAGAGTTTCCTCTCTAAAATACGAATTAGCAGTGCAGAAATACCGCAACGAAGGAACGCCCTTCCTGCGCTACCAACGCCTCAATTTGATACCACACGTATATTTTTCCTATCAGTGGCGTGGCGTGCCCTGCGATATATCGATTGTTATGCCATTTAAACCTATAGAAAAGGATCGATAAACAGGGTGTTCGCAGCGAACACCTTAATGATCGATTCTTTACAATGGGTTTAAATGGCATAACAATCGATGTTTCGCAAAGCACGCCACGCCACTGTTTCCTATCGAAGGCAAAGAGAGTGCTTATACTGAAAGACTGAATCAATTCATACTGGAAAAGAGGATGAAAACAGTTTTTCGTTGACTCAATCTACAATAGATTTGTTTGACTCTTTATCTTTCTTAACCTATTTCTGCTGAGCTTAATCCAAAATTAATTGTATCTAATGGAACGATTCGACAACCTCGCACTCCCAGCTGCTCATTACTTTCTCCACGCAGCCGAGCGCCGCGCCGGCAAATTCTCACGATTGAATGAAAAGATGCTTACGGAGGTAATCATTCGTTCATTATTGTTCCTTAGAATAGATAACGTTTCCTTTTTCTTCTTTTCTTTTTGAAAAAAAAGAAACAGAAAATCCCCTCCGTCTACACTCTAGCAACTTTGTCAGGTTTAAGGCTCCGAAACTTCACTTCTGTGAATATCATTTGCCCTTACTTCCGGAAGCACCAAAGGTGAACGTAAGTGTAATTCCGATAAAAATTAATTCGAATAATTGGGCTGCATTTTTCAATTAGGAACTAAAATTCCTCGGTCATTCGTAAAAACACTTATGTGCGTGAAGAAACTAATTGACACTCACGTTATCGGTCTGAACTGAACCAGAAATTGTAGTTCTTAATTGCAAAATGTAGTCCAGTTAGTATTGATGCAAGGATAATCTCACTTCAATCCAGACTTAAATAAATATGATAATTATGAATAAAGGGTCAACGTTCTGGGCAAACAGAAAATCATTATAAGGCTTTCTGAACGTTCCAATTACTATAAATGTCTCACAGATACCGGAAAGAAACCATAAACCAAAAATAAAGACACTTATGGAAATTACTTTTTATTCAACAGCTAACAAGAGACTTTTCCTACAATGCCACCAGTAAAATTTGGTAAAGAAAATTTAAAATCATAACAGACATGATATTATACTTTTACGAAAATCCAAATTCGTCCACTTAAGAATGAAGCTTTTTTTTTTAAATTGCCAAGGTAGATGTGCCCCAAATTTTTAATCCTATTAATAACCTCCAATATTAATACCTATGCTGTACATATCTAATTCAATGTATCCAATATTATATAAAATAAATAAACCTTTGCTTCGAAAGTTGTTTACTTGGTGCACATAATCATGCGTTGAACTAACTTTTTTTACTATGGGTACTTTTTTATTCACTTCATTTCCGTTGAAATATTTCGCCCCTACTAAATCATTTAACCAGTGAGGGTTGCACCACTGCTGAGGGGCTAACGCAGCTTTCACACAAGCGAAACGCGGCAGTGACAAAAGATGCAGTTTTCCCACCAACTGGGGTTACTAGGGGGCACAGGGGGGCACTGAGGGCACCGGGGGGCCATTTCCCAGCGCATCGAAACCAACCACCGAGCGAGCGATGCAATTACCAGCCCCGCTGTTGAATCAGGTTCACCCGCCTGCGATAATTTAAAAAATTAATTTTGCGCCCCCCCCCTCCTCTACTAGGGAAGAGGTGAGAGTCATTAGTTAGAGCGCGAAAAATGGAGAATCACGCAGCTTAATTAATTCCTTCTC